GATAAAAAGGTTGGGGACCACTGCTATAGATGATGATTGTGTCAGAGGGAGTGGGATACAGGATTTATTTGCTTTTTTTTTTTTTACTGTTTTCTTTATTTTTTAATTTAAGCTGCCCAAATTTCAAATTGAATTTGTATTATAGTCATATACCAGCATGGCTGCCAGAATTGTTTTGTAGTCAGTTAGCCTCTCCATCTGATATGGAAACCAAGCTAGTACAGAGAACAGGACTTCTCTAAATAATATACTATTGGAAGTGTATAAATGAGGGTCTTTAATGGAGGCTATTCTTTCAATTCAGTACTCTCTTCTAGGCATTTTTCCATTATTGTTTTTATATAATAAAGAGTTAAAATTAAGGAAAAGATTCATAAATTGAATATTGGAATATATAAAAAAACTACTCTGATTGAAGTGTTTGTATCTAAGCATGCTGGCTGGAGAATTTTGGGAGTTGAGATCCACATATCTTAAAAGTTGCCAAGGTTGAGACACACTGTTTTAAATCGACCATAAATAGAGATCAGCATATGATTTCCAGCTACAAATGAGATTTCTGGTAAGGCCATCTCTAAATCTTGTACATTAAGCTTCTTTTTGCTTAGCTTACTACTTTAAAAAATTAAACATACAAGCAATGTATGCAAAATGAAACTTACTGCTGTTCTATTGAAGATTCTAAATTCAAGTGAGACTCTGGCACTATTTCTTAATGGTTTATTCCTGATTTCCATCTTTTTTCTGTTCATGTATTTGCAACAATTAGTGCAACTTTAAATGATATACATGAAACTACAATTCAGATTCTTATGCACCCTTGCTTAATATATTGATTGCAAAATGTGAATAATTTCCCTTCAGTCTCTTGAATCTAAACCTATACAGTCAGAAATTTTGCGAATGCATGGGCAGAATTTATAGTGATGATTAGATCAGACTTCAGTGGATTTATCTGACTATTAGTATCCAAACTATTTTCGTTATTTCTTCTTTAAAAAAAAAACCTCTTATGGCTTTGGATCACCCCCCCCCTCCCCCGTATAATTATAGATGTCTCTAATTATACAGCCAGTTAATTTTTATTTAATGCTGCTAGATATTTTGTTTTTACTAAGCTGTTTCTTGTTTGTGTTTGTACTGTTGTAATATGTAATTAAAACTTTTTAAAACAGATGTACTGTCAAGTCACTCTGGTTGAAAGCTGGAAATAGCAATGTACTAAAGTTGAAAAGGAAGAAGTTATGCTGCATTGTTATATAAGATAAGATTCAGCATTTTTAAAAATTCTTTGTACTGGATTGTCAACAGTATGGATCATGAAACAGTCACACAGTCCCCAAACTCATAAAAGTGAAACTGAGAACTTAGATCGAGCTCAGCCTCTCCTTATACTTGCCTCCAAAAGTTGTGGGTGCTCCAACACTGGAGACTTTTAAGAAGAGATTGGACAACCATTTGTCTGAAATGGTAGTTTCCTGCCTGAGCAGAGGGTTGGACTAGAAGACCTCCAGAGTCCCTTCCAGTTCTGTTAATCTGTTAATTCTGTTACTGTATAAGAACAGTT